AGGAATCACTACAATACGACCAGAATCTCAAGCTCATGGAACAGAGAGTCATTCATAGTGAATGGTGATACCTTTGAAGTGTCGCAAATGCCCAGCATATGCTAAAGGCTGGTTTTCTTGAACCCAACATAGCATTCAAAAGAGAGGAGATGGAAAGACAAAATAACAGTTGATTACATATGTGGAAGTTGACTAATTCAAGAAAAGAAAGCTTGCTCCTTCCCATTCACGAGGGACCTTAAGTGGTCAGGAGAGCAATGCTAAGGAAATCATTGACTAGAAAATGAAGTTATATTTTCTTTTAGAATTTTGTGAAGGGCTGAATGTGTGAACTGAATCTAACCATGTCCTAAGTTTCAGCTCTTTCATAGCATATACGAGTAGCATTGAGCTCTAAGAAGAAATTGCAATAAGTTGCTATCAGGGATTCCATTCTCAGACCTTGTAATTCTTGGGAATTTCCCAATGTTGTGTTGCAGAAGTTGGCTTGGAAATGTGGAAAGTTGTAAAAGGCACTTGCTCTGCTGTTGTTCTGCTCATTAAATCTCCTGTTTTGCCAAGTTCTTGTTGCAATCACTGTCGTGGTTTGCTAAAGGTCCCTATTCTTTGGGTGTCATGTAAAGCTAACACATTGAAAAAGATGCAGAGGAGACCACTTGTCTGTCAGTTAAACAAACATTCTGAAGAGATTGACAAAGGGTTTATACGTGACACGCGACGAAGACCAAAATTTGCATTTGACGCGTGAATTGTACAGAGAGATGTACGCTATTCGTAAATTTATGAACCAACGCGAAGCGTGATATGTGTGATCCGCACATTTTTCTTTCAGTTCGTGAAAATCTCAAGATTTCCCCTAAACATCATAAACAGGAGGGGAGATTTGAAGTTTCACCTTCTATATACGTGACGCGTGTATTTTCCTTAACCCCTGAGATTGACCAGCTTCTAATTTCTCCTTAAAATATCACCCCTGAATCAAACATTAAGGTCACGAGAATCAAGGAAATAATTACCAACTTATAAGCTCTTGATTTAAAAACAAATTCTCCTTGTCAGCGCTCCATGAAATGTATAGAGAACAGTATGGAGAATATGCATATTGACGATAGGGTATAAATGGTTAATTTTCCATGAAACGGGAAGCGGGTCAGGACTCCACTCCACCCACCCACCCCTCCCCCCTTCACCCCCTCTTGTTACCCTCTCTGAGGGTGCTATATGCTACTTCATTATTAGAATATTCTGACATGGAAGAATCAACATGTAACTTCTCCCCATAATATCCAGACATTAATCGGTAAACAGGTACCAAGAATACTCAAACTTTCCAGGTCGAAGTTGTTATCTTGATCTAGCACCAAACTCTCACAACTAATTTACAAGGAAATGTTTAGCAGCTAGAGGGGAGAATCAACAATTAGATCTTGGGAGTTCAAGGGTTTAAGTACCAAAGAGACAAGAATAAAACCAAAGTGAATAAGGAAAGTGAACTGATAAAAGAGATCGAAATCGATGGGAAATGAGATACTTGAAAATTCACTTTCTACTGCATAATAAAGATGATGAAAGAATCTTTATTGTGCAGTAACTAATACTTTTCTCACTGATACTTCAATAACTATCGGTGTCTCCGTTACGCTGTCAGCCTTTGCTAATTTTAATTACAACGAGTAGTGAGCTTTTGTTCCACCACGTTCCCTTGTGTCTGATGTCAGACTCTTCTCCTCGGTTATGGACCGTTCCAAATGATTTCGGACGCTTCCGTCCGTTTCCGACATTCGTTCGTATAATCTCGTTCCGCTGTTCGACACTTCTGTTTGGTTCCAGACCCTTCCGTCCGATTTCGGCCACTTCCGTCTGTTTTCCGATATTCTGTCGTATCATCTCGGTCCGATGTCGAACATTTCTGTCCGGTCTCAGACCCTTCCGTCCAATTTTAGAAACTTCCATAGAATTCAGCAAAATGAATGTTAACAATCGCAAAGCTCGTCTTCATGGTTTTTTTTTATTACTATTTGTTTGTACAAACCCGGAAAGTTGCTAGGATGGACACAACAAATTAACGTCACGGTATCCGACACCCTTATTAATCCTCACCTGTTTTGTCTGGTCAGGTTAATCTTCTTTTTTTGGGCATCATCCGCGTCTGGCTGATTTTGTAACGCGCGGCCATCCGGTCTCGTGTTCTCTCAAGCTTGAAACATTTTTCTGTTCGTAGATATGACTTTTCATGTTTTGTCTTCTCTCAGACAACTAAATTCGTTATGACTTTCTGTGAACCATTCTACGGAAGTTTGATTAGTGCTATAGGAAAGTACTTATCCACGATGGTCGAAAAGAAGCTCACTAGAGTATGAGGAAATGAAAGCCGGTGCCAAACATTTATCACGAACCACGTTATTTTAAATTAGTTATTTTAAATTATTTTTCCTTATAGGAAATTCGCCAATAACATTATATTGTACCCTAGCTCTACAGAGTAGTATACCACGCACAAATAATTCTAAAAACTCTTTTGATCCTGAAAAAGGTCGATTCTGAGCAGCTTGTTTTACACCTGGAGTTCCGCTGTTATAATTCTTACGGCGTCTAGTTAGGAGAGCCAGAAACAAGGTAAAGGGTGTGATTGTGTTTATTTATCCCATTTCTTGCCAAGAACTAAAAGACAGTACCCCTAGAGATTTAACTGTTGAATATTTATCTACTTCAGTTCCGTCAAAAGTTCGGTTTGGTCGGTATAATTTTCACAGACCATTTTAATCCTAAGCTCTTTTATTTAAAGCCTGCACTCTTTTATTGCGCATCTGAACGTCTATTTCTATTTTATTGACGTTTTTCCGAGTTAGCTTTTTTTGGCTTTGAATAAGAGGTTCTTTATTATTGACGTACACCTTAGGGTGTAGTCAAGAGAAAAGTAATTAGTTATAGAAATTAACATGCGTATCCCATCCTGGGGGAATCACCACTGCGTCTGACATCACGATAGAGCCGAACGAGTTCCGGGTTGTGAGGTTGTAAGCTTTCTCAGAAGAAAAAAAATTAATCGAAATCCTGAGCAACCAATATGATGTTAGACTCGCTGGATATGCGTTGTTTCTCCATACAGTTTATTTTCTTCAAAAACAGTATTTCACTGAACAATATTCACCGGAAGCTCTCAAAGGAAGGGCTTGAACGACGCGATTTAGCCGGCTGAATTGTTATGATTTGGTTTTCAGTTTTTCAGTTTCTTTTTCGTAATTTCATTGGAGCAGGCTTTATGGTGTAGAATGACGGAACCGTTGAGCAGTAAGAAAAACAAGCGTTGATGATCGATTTACGTGTGCGCGTAGGTTACGGGTGAATTTTTAGACAGAATCGGAGCATTTGGCACAATGTTGCACCGCTGTCTCCATCTTCACCAAACGTTAATTTTGAGGCAGAGATATTCGACCTGCTGTTATTTTTAAGTTTAATTATTGCTTCAAATTTAGATTATATTGTCTCATTAAACTTCGAGAATGATCGGAAGCTACACGGACATGACCGAAACAAAACTAAGATTGGAAAATGCAAGAATAACTGGATATTGCCGACACGCTTGTTTTTTCAACTTGGCAAAATAAACAGACCTTAAATATAGACCAGAATTGTGCGTAGTTTTGTGCTTTAATCCATTCATATCCATAGGATTATCTTGGCGAAACTTTATTTTTTCAATCCCTCTAAGCCCAGTCACGGTAAAGGCAAAAAAAAAGTGTTGGCTGGCGTGACAGAGTGACAGAGTGGTCCCACCGGAAGTGTAAAATATTGTTATAAAGCCATGTTGAAAACCAACACCTCATGCTATTCCTGACAAGTATCGAAACAACTTGAGGTTCGCTTCAGTTTTTAGAAGAACGATATTCCACCCAAACAAGAGTTCTATTCAACACCGATAACGGATCACAGAAGAAGAAGAGGAATATTACGTGACGTTTGTTTTTTCTCCTCTCTTTGTTATCTTAACGCTTTTGGAGCAATCTGAGAAACACGATTACGGTGGGCTGACCTGGATTAACGGATGGTGTGATGATTAATCATTGACTCTTTCACACGATTATGTTACTGATTGTACTTTAGTTGCTCTCGTGGTAGAGTAAACTTCAGTGAAACTCAAAATCAGCTCAACTTGAAGGTCTGAAGGATAAATTTCATCAACATGCATGTTCAAAAAGGTAGGTTGACTAGTTCTTAACTCTGATAATGAGGCAGATCGTTCGATGGGTCATCGTACCGTGATTCAATGGTTCAAATCGAAATGTGATAAATCGGAATTATTTGATTGAAAATTATTATAATCCTTTTTTCGAGTAACACCGATGATAAAGCTTGCACCTCACTCGCGGTTTAGATTGAAATAAATAAAGTAAACTAGGTTCGAGTCAGATGGTAAAACCCACGGAAGTCACATGAAACTCAACAGATCAGAATTCATTGTGTTTCAAGGAACTTGATTCTAGAGGTGTGTCCGCCTGGCGGAGTAAATCCAATCCTTTAACCTTATACGACTAAGTTTATTCCTATTTTATCTTTTCTGGGGGGGTCAGGACTTTTTGAGAGCAAGTAAAATGAATAAATCAGAGATCGCAGCTCTATTGTTCACAGTATTGTTATTCAAATGAAAGAGGAGAGTAAACTAAATTGCCTCGACGATTCATAAAGAGTGGAAGGAAATGATGAAATTTCCTGCAAGAACACTGACTAACAACGCTTTACAGATAGGAAATGGTAAAGAGAGATTCTAATTTTCTCACTACAAAACTAAACTTATGATTATTGGGAAACCAAAAGTAATGCTAGTAAATTTCGAAGCTCTCACGTCGCGGCCATAAGTAACGCAATCAAGAATTTTGACCAATCACAGCGTGGAAAATTAGAAGTGCAGACAGATTATTGTTGATGCTCCAAATTTGTCTCTGACGTCACCTGTACATCCGGGTTCTGTTGATACGTAATGTCATGCCGTGCCCCTGTCTTCCAAGGGTTCTCCAAAAGAGTTTTTATGAGGAAACGGAATACACAAGTGGAAGTTGGGGACACTTAGGATTTTGCTCTTTAAAACTCCTGCTTTAGCATGTCGTGGAACATTCAAAGACCCGACGGTGTCCCCGAAATGGCGCCTTTGGAAGGCCAACCATCTATGAGCCATTCACAACTTCTGAGTAACAGAGATGGTAGGACAGATTCGATATCAGTGGGCCTTTAGTTAATTTGCTTTCTCCGACCTTTTCCTCCCTCTGTAAATGAAATTGCGGATTTTGGGTATTTTTTGGAAGTTTTTATTTTATATTGATCGTTTGGGGCTCTAAATGGTAAATTTTTCATTGCAGCTTTGGAGCGAAAGCTCTCTCAAAGAGAACCCCGTCAGGAACTTGTGAGCAGAGGGATTATGCCTGGTTCGTAATTTTATTGCTTGTCATTCGACTTTATCTCTCTAGCTATCGTTGAGGCTAACTCTCTGATTTATCCTTCTAGCCGTTAGTGCAGCACCAGCAATTCTTTCTCAGAGGACGAAGCTCGAACGAGCGAAGGTTAGTTTAGAAACTTTAGAATGTGTGTTTGTGTGTGTTCTTATCCTCGAACTGTCTTAAACTAAGAGAGATATGTAAATAAAATGTAGGGGAACTGAAAACACTGACCACTTGGTGTGTTGTGGCTTTTAGACTGGTGATTTACTGCAGAAGAAAATACGAACAAGGCCAAATCGTGCCCAACTGATTCAGAGACACATTTTAAAAGGTGAGCTATATTTTTTTTTGGCGAGCAGATTTCAGCTGTAGTAGTGTCTCCAACCTTATTTGACAGTTTGGAGGTGTTTTGACTTATCGATTCAGTTCACAGAAGCTCTATGGAAGTATCCCGACATTTAGTTCGATCAATGAATTTCATTTGAGAACCCTGGAAAATGGAGAAGTTTTCCTTAGAGATTAATGCCATTACGTAGGTTATTTTCGTCACGTTTACGATTTTTGACGCTCGAGTTGAGAAGGACAAATGTTTGTGTTTCACGACAGATTCCTTCATAATAAATTTTTTTGTTCTCTATTAGTTATTGCATACTAAGTGAAGTAATCATGATGATTTTTTACATAGCTTACTTGCGTGGCATTTCAATTCAGACGGTGCTAATTCAGTTTCATATGTTGGTTTTATGTTTCCTTCACTTTTATCTTTTTCGTCTCCAGTAAACCTACTTTCATTTTCTTCTTTAAATTCGCGAATCACGATATCCATTTACGACGGAATGAAAACATAATTAGACTTCACACTCTCTTATGTGCAGCTGGTCTCTGTAGTACTGTCAAGAAAATCAAAGGAAACATTGAGAAAATCCACTATAACGTGTGCGTGCTCTGTGCAAGCCATGTTTATTACTATGCATTTTGATTCAAACAAATAATTTCTTTACTCATAACGCATTCGAAAAGTTGTTTATTTTTTCGGGCGAAAAATGGGTTGTTCTTACAAATCAACAAGCACGCTTTCGGTGATTTTTCGTGCAACGGCGGTTCAATTCACCAAATCCCAGGTTATACCAATTTAATCATTCAGAATATTTTGGGATTAATAATTTTATTGTTGCAACCTCATCAAGACCTGTGGCGTATGCCTATTTGACAGCCTTGTGGGATCCCTCTTAGATTTGATTTGATGTGGTAAATTTTTAAGATGTTCTATGGCAATTGTATTTTCAAGAAACAAGTGAAGAAGATCCATCTTTCTCTTTCTTTTTTTTAATTAATTCTCCCAATGGTTTGCTTAGCTGATGTTATTTTCAAGTATTGATTATCTCAGAGTTTTTCTAATCCCTGTGGTTGCCTAAGATATTCCTCTTCCCAGGCCAGCGTTTGCTGTGATTTTTTTCTGTATTCTGTGGAATGGAGGGAGCTTATTACTGGTCATAATTTCATAATATTTTTTTTGGCAATGCTATGTGACACTAATTAAATTTGGGAGCATGTGAGAAGTGTGAAACTTGATAAATTAATAAGAGGAAAAAACTGCAACCAAAAAAAAAGAAAATGCATGGGGGGAAGGTTCTGATTGTTTTTTTTAGCCCTTTCCTCCCACAATTTAATCTGAAATTCTCCTTTCAGTTGATGTACTTGATTGTAGAAAAAAAAAAAGGTTATCATCATTTTAGGAGATTGTGTTGAAATTGGAAGGATAAAAAGGGTTACTTTTTTGTAGATTTTAGAGCTCTTTCAGTTTTGGAAATGATGGTTGTCTTTGGTTTCCTTAGAAACTCCTGGTGCAGTGGACCCTTCACTGATCGACAAGCAAATGCAACTGAAAAGGAAGAAACTGGAAGATAATCTCAATGACAAACTATCATACAGACCTGGTCCCTTGGAGCTAGTGAAGGAGAATATCTTGGAAGCTGGTACTCCAATGAGCCAGGCAGTGCAAGAGGGAACTGTGCCTTTTACTGAAACCACAGATTACTTGCAGTCCCTCTCTCCTGATAGTGTTGACTCTCCAGATGCATCTCCTTCACCAGATTTGAGCCATGTGTCTTCCCCTTCAAGTGTGGGTTCACCTCCAGCATCAACAAGCATAACATCTTCAGTGCAAGCTCTTGCTTCTCTACAAGCACAGACTAAAAAACACACTCAGCAACAACAAGCAAAACAGCAGCAACAACATCAGTTGTTTTTACAACAGCAAAATGGCCTGAATCTAATAGCACCTACACAACTTCCAGTGCAGGTGTCATCAACAGCACCAAAGAAGGAAACTGGAAAGTCTCGAAAGAAAGCAGCCAAGCCAAAGGTTAAAAAATACAAGTATCATGAGTATCGGCCACCTAATGGTGAGGTGCAGAAATGTGATTTGCCATCAGACTCACCATATGGTTTGTTATTACAGCAACAACAACTTTACCTCCAGCTGCAAGTGTTATACCAGAACTACCCCCATCATTGTATGTTACCTTCCATTCCAGAAAATGTTAAACTTGGGGTGAATGGCTCCAAGAATGGCAGTGGTAGTGATTCTGAAAAAACTGTCAAAATTGAAGACATGCGAGTCATTGACATGAGGAGAGCTCTGAAGGAACGTGGGCTTCCAGTGTTTGGCTCTAAAACAGACTTAATTAAGCGCCTGAAGGAGGCTGGGCCTCTTCCAACAGAGGTTGCACCAAACTCAAATAGTGCAGCCTCTGTTGTGGTGTCAACGCAAGAGCAGATAACAACCTCTGCACCAAGTGTGTCTCAAGCTTTTCCCAGAACAACGACCCATCCGCCGGTGCAGCGCTCGAACTCCTTGCCCATGCAAAATGCGCAAAATTCAAGTTTAGAAGCTGTAGAGCAGTTGAAGATGCAGATATTAGCAAATAACCAAAGCCTTCAACAGCTTAGTGTGCCACCAGAAGTTCAGCAACAACTCCAGCAGCTTCAATATTTGAACCTTCAGTTACAACTGAAGCACCTAAACATTCAACAGCAACAGAACATCCAGCCAAAACCTCAAAATACACCTGTCACCAATCAGAATGTAGCAATGAAAAAGGAATCTCTAACAGACACAAATTGTTCTTTCAGCCCGCCACCTGATCACAAACAAATGAAGGAGCAAAAACCATTATTTGTAATCCAACAACAGGGCCAACATGTGCAATTGTCACCTGGAAATCATTCTCCTCAGCAACAGCTTCTTCATCAGCCACAACAGGTTGATAATGCTTTGGCTCATTTACAGGAACAGGCTCAATCATTGGACCTAAGCCCTAGCAATTTTGACTCAAACCCCAGCAGTGTGGAAAGCCATGTTCTTCCTTGGGATCAACAACATCCCCTATTTGATGGAGAGAGCGAATCATTTCCATCACCTGGTTCACAGCACTCAGACTTATCAAACTTATCACCCTTGCAAATGGATCAGCTTTCTCACAGTATGGATACTTTACCAAATGGTAACCTTTTCCAGGCCAACATGAAGCCAGAAAGTCACCAAATGCAAAGGTCCTATTCAGAGAGATCTTCATCTGATTGCCCAGATGATTACTTCTTGATGCTGCCACAGACAAAGCCACGGTCATTGTCTGAACCACAGTTCCCTGTATCAACACACAAACGATCATCATCATTTCCATCAAACCCTTTTGCTGCCCCTCCACCAAGTTATGAGGCTCACATGGCTGCTCAGTCACAAAAGCAGAACAGAAACCTTTCAGTTGGGGGGCAGATTGGTGGGGGCCTTGCCATGCCAAGTACCAGTCCTAAGCAAGAAGATATGGAATTGCCTTTAGAGTCTGTTATCCAAGACAAGGAATTATCTCAAGAACTACAAAAGGTTTGTGCATCTTCTCTGATCTTGGTTGTTGCCTTCATTCTTTCTTTGGTAGTCCTCTGTCATTTAACAATGTTTAGATACTCCACCAAAGGGAGCCACGTAATATTTTACAGTATTTCTCTAGTTTTAGGTTGAATTTTTCAAAATTCATTATTGATGATTTTGGCTGGTCTTGTCCATCCTGAACCATTCAGGTTCTTTTTTTGTTTTCTCTTGCTTCTCTGGTGTTTCTTTTCTCTAGTGAGCTATTATATTTAATTTCACTCTTCAATTTAGCAAAAAAATTATCTTTAAGTATAAAACATCATTGCTTTGCACATTGTTGACCAATGTACATCTCTGTTAGTGACCCTTGTTGAGTGGGTGATATTTGAATCTGCAAGTAATATTTGTGTGTTTACGAGGATTTACCCCTTATAAAGGAACTAGCACTGTAATATTTTCAGATTTTTATTGGCCTCGTAGTATAGTCTCATATATTTTTTTGATATCTGTTAATACCCCTGCATAAAAGAGCCAACTAAGTAGCCAAGGTTTTTTCTGTCATTACACTTGCAACTGGAACTGCAAATTCTTTAAAGCCTGGGAGATGACAAGCTCAGGTATTCACATTTTTCTGTGATGCACTTTTGAGGCATTGTATGCTGCCGGGTTTAAGCCAGTATGGTCATGACGCATTGGTCCTTATTTCTTCCATCTTTGCAGGCAATGATGAAGAATTTCAGTTCACTGGATCATGATGACATACTTGAAATCTTAGGAGGTTGGTGCATGAACTTTTTACATGTTAGTGGTATTTGGGTACTGAATTTTCCCACTTTATTCCAGTTTTACTCTCATGAAAGGCCAGTGGTTTGTCAGCTCCACTGTCATTGCATAAAGGTGGTGATAGTATTGTTAAAGAATAAACTTTTTTTGAAATTTTTATTTTTCTAGTTTCTAATTTTGTGAACAGGGACTCCCTTGTGAAATATTACAATATTTATTATTATTATTACAAAAAGTAACATTTAGTATAGTTGTAATTGATTTATTGTAATTATTTTTATCATTATTATTGTTATAGTTACCCTTGTGAGTTTGAAGCCAATGTCCTTGTAATTTATTTACAGAACCTCGCAGTCAATTGCCAACAAGTAGTAGTTCTTTTGCTGGGATATTGTCAACGTCGCAATCATCACCTGCACAATCTTTTACAGGGAGTAAGTCACCAAGTCTGGGATACCTTCGCACTCTACCAACACATAGCTCTGTGGGAAGAATTTCAAAAAGCTGCGAGGATGTGAGCCAAATGCCTGTTGGCAACAATTCTTTGTCTAATTTTGACTATATGCTAATGAGCCCTATGTCTCCTATGAGAGTGGACTCTTGTGATACAGATGAAAGTTCAACCTTAATGGATCACACTTCTAATGCCATACCTATTCCAATGGCAAACAATGGAGCAGGGAGGACAGATAATCTAGGCTGGCTTGATTTAAGCCTGTCACCATCTGCACACAATGTTACACAACAAGGAAGTGCTGAACTTTCTCACAATAACAATTTCGGCAAAGGAACACCCCCTGCATTTTTGTATGACCCTATGACAACATTCAAGGGCGATGAGGCTTTGCCTTATCTATCTCTGTTTGACCTAGAGACTCCAACAGCACTTCAACCACCCACAGACTTTGCAGAAACAATGGATTACTGTATTTAGGTTGTGTTCTGGTTGACTATTGGTAGTTATTTGGTAACATAATATGATGATTAACTGTAGTAATAATCTAAAATGATAGTTGCCATATTGGAAATTACTATCAATAGCAAAGTAAGAAAATGTAGATTAGTTGTTTAGGTTTATGTACACCTCCTCCTTTTTGTGTTCTGATAAGTAAGCCTTTTTTTCATAGTTAAAAATTATGAAACTAACTCTGGCTAATGGGAAAATCTCTTCATTCATTCCTTTTTTTTACCCAATCAAAAATCTATCATAATGTTGGTAAGACTCCTGAAACTATGTATTAATTGTTCATTAAACTTTCTAAATTCAGAAATAAATCAAAACATATACAGATGTGTTAGGAGATACATTCAATATTTCTAAATTTAAGTTAGGTTATAAATATATTTGAGTTTATTGTTCTAAACAAATGAACTGCGGTGTGCTTTTGTGCTCTAATGCTGTAACCATTCTTTTAAGAAGGTTAAACCCAATCACTCTGTTGTTGCTCTTAAAGTAGCCTGCAAAGTTGATCAGGGGTTTTACTAGTATGGCATGTAATGGAATATGACAGTCATAAATCTGTGTTCACTGCCACAACTGATAGTAAAGGCAATAGCCACTCATTTTTAAAAAACAAAACTTCTCAAGCTTCTGTTAATTAATTCATTGGTATAAGGTCCAGAAACTGGCATTTGAACTCTGGTTAAAAGACTTCTCTGTAAAGATAGATGCTTTTTTTTTTTTTGCTAAGTGAAGTTGGCTGAGCATCAGCAATATGGCAAAATAATATTGCAATTAATCAACCCTGTTCTAGGGGAGTTTATCCATCACAAATTCCATCAAGCTTCATTTTGATACTTTTGACAATCATCAAACCTTACATTGTAGTGATAAATGCTTTCCTTAGACAGGTACAGACTTAAATCACCTAAAATTTATAGTTGCTTTCCCTTGCATCCCTCTCAGTTATTGTTTTTAAATGCTATCTGTTTTTAGTTTATTAATTTTAAGATCTACTAAGAGCCCCATAGCATTAAACTGATTCTAGAATTTTCCATGGCATCCACAAGATAAAGGCAACTAAAATAATAAATATCACCACCTCCCACTAAAGGAAAATTGTCTGAATGAGTAGTGTTTTGTTGCTCAGAAATACTTGTGAAGGTGTTCTATGTAGAAATATTTTTCAAATGGTATTATTAAGTGAGGCCTATTCTAAAGAGAGAGGAGGTTTTGCTGCATAAAGAACCAAGTCTAAGTTGCCATGGTTCAGGTTTAGTTCAAGTCTGTAAGCAGATATTTAACTAAGAAAACAAGATAAACCATCATTGATCAGTGAAGATTAAGTAAACTGCTCTTGTCATCAGACTACTTTAAATTTCATTTCACGAACTTGTAAATTTACCAGATTCATTTGAAAAAAAAGACAGTCACAATAATTGTACATTTGCATTCATCTTAACCTTAGTATCTTCCAGTTTTCTTGGAGGAGAAAGAGAAGAGTAGTGACATTTTCCTCTCAAATCTAGGGACATTTACTGCAATTCTCACAAAGAAAATAATTATTACATCAGGAACAACGAATGCATGATATTAACTTTGAGTCAAAGGAAAGACAAATCCTATAGTCAGCTTTTTTAAAGAAAGTCAGGAGTGGTTCACATATCTTTTGGATTTTTAGACAAGAAGTCTTGTTTATCATTTTTGGAAAGCAATGTTGCATTGCATTTAACTGCATTTCAGATTTCTACTTATGTGTACTTGCACAATTCCCTTGCTAGTTGCAGAGACCAGTTGATGTTGTAAGTCATTTAATGAAGTGAGTTTGATTGTTAGGTCCACTTTCAGTCATTATTTTAATAACATTGAATTTCCATAGAATGTTTGTGGAATAAATTTCATCCAGAATTTTGTTTGTTTGTTAGTTTTTTTATTGTTTATGCATCAATCAATTTGAAGCTTTCCCCCACCCCTTCCCCTTTTTCTTCTGAGGAAATTGGTTTGTTCAAAGTCCCACCCTCAGGACAAAATTTGTGTTCAAATGCCCAACCCAAGTGCTGGATTTGATGGTTATATTTTTTGAAAAAGGAAAATTCAGCAACCATCACGATGGCTTTCTACAAATTGACTAAGCTAGACTGTGTAGACCTTTTCTTCTGAGCCATTCCCTCGCATTTACCTTTAAACAGATGTAACACTTGTATACTGCTGGAAAGACTTGACAATTCAAGTTCAAATTACCCATTGCGGCCAGGGACAATGGTCAAATGCTCATAAGTGGCCTGGAGAGGGGGCACTGAAGCTTTGAGTGATCTGTGCAGATGTGTAGATGTGAAAAAGAGGGTAGCTGGCATTGATGAATTTGAAGATATTTTGATTCATTCAGGGGTAGGTCAGTTTATGCAGATTGTCTCTCAGCAAACATTTTTATTCTAAAAATAGCATTCCTTTATAAAAAAAAAAAAAAGTAAAATGAGATACTAGTAAATGTAAGTAAATAAACCTGGCTAAGCCTGCATATATGGGGAGTTGTGTATGGAGTAGTAGGAGATATTAATTACCCAGCATGTCAGTTGGAGAATATTGTGTGACATCTAATTAACACCCACAAGCTTTTAAGTTTCTCTGGTTTCATCACCTCATGGATCATGAATTGATATCTTGCGGAGAAATTTAGATGTAAATGTCTAGAAGTAATGTACAGGCTAGAAAGACCACTCAGTCCACTGGGCATGTGCTGCTGGCCTCTCGGAACTCCCATTCCACTATAGTCTATTCTGTGACAAATTATGGACCCCATCTTACTCATTTTTGGGCAACTGTATTACTGCAAATCTTCCCATTTTTAAATCCCTATATACTGAAATTTTCTTACCCACAAAATTGCAAAACTGTGAGACTCCATTCTAATAACTCTAAAGAAAAGGCAACCCCATAGTAGTCAATCCAGCTGTGAAAATGTCATTCAGTATATCCCCATTAGGTTATTACTTGGACAACTCCCCCACACCCCCCCTGTTTGTAGTTAAAATGAATACTTAACCACCTCGCTGGCTCAGTGTCCCAGCTGGCCCATGTGGATTTAAAGTACAAATTGTTTGAATGTCCTTGATTCCCAATCTCATGATCAATCTAGTTAGTTAATATTATATTTAGTAAAGGTTTTCATGAACATTTGGTTTTAAGACTAATTTCAGAGACATTTTTCGGACACAAAACTGAAACATAAGGCATGTTTCATCGACTTACATCAAAATGATAGGGAGTGAAACATTATGTAATAATGTTACTTTTCAAACTTAAATTCTCTTACAGCCCAGCAGAATGTTGTTTCAAGTTCCTAAATATTATTTGCTTGAGAAATCTTGCATAATTTTCAAACATGTGGCACAAATAAGAAGTAGTTGGGTTCTAGATTAGATCCCCTTATATTGGGTTCCTCTGAATGAGAAACAATTAATTTCCCCTGGCACAAAATACTGAAAATCTGAAAAACTGTTAACCCTTAAACTCCCAAGATCTGATTGTTTATTCTCCCCTCTAGCTGCAGCACATTTCCTTGTAAATTAGTTATGAGAACTTGGTGCTAGATCAAGATAACAGCTTCTGCTTGATAAGTTCAAATATTCTCACTACCTGTTTACTGAATGATGTTTGGATATTATAGGGAGAAGTTTCATATTAATCACTTTTGGGTGTTAAAGAGTTAACCTGGTAAAGGTTATTCAGTCTCCAACATTTACTGTCAGATACCATATTTAGGCTTGTAAAGTAGTGCTTTGTCACTGGTAATTTTTTGTTGATGTGAAAAGTGTGAAAGAATGTTTTTATATTTTCCTTGGTTTATGCTGTCATAAATATAGTGTAACCAACTAATAAGAAGAGGCAACTTCAGCAACTGTGAAAAAATTTGGAGTAATTCCTGGTAACTGCTGTCAAGTATTACTACTTTCTTGTTGTCACTTTCGTCATTTTATTCTCTCCCACAATTAGTAGTTAACTTTAAAAGGTGACCTCCATCAAATTTTTCAAATGCTTCAAAAGAAGATAGAAATCAATGGAAGACATTATCATTTGATGTAGTTATCACCTTGTTAATTACATCAACCCAATGAAACAAAAATCCCATTTGTAATAATCTTTGGATGTTAATCCTTCAGTATAATCTTCAAACAATTTTTTTTAAGTGCAGTAAAGGACTTAATCCCTGCTTCTTGTCTTTTTAAATCAAATATATTAATTATACACTTTTGCAAGCCCCAGATGCCATGGAATTTTAATTATTCATTCCCATAGAGAAGAGACAGTGATTAAGGGCCTCTGTTAAACCTACAATTCACCATTTGACTCCCAAGAGTGGGTAGCATCAAACTACCCCTTACTATATCACCCTGGAATCAAACATTAAGGTCATAAGAATACAGGAAATGATCACCAACTACAGAGGCTCTTAAACAAAGAGGTTCTTAAACAAATTCTCCCTGTCAGCATCTCAGGGAATGTATAGGGAAAAGTATGGAGGATAAGCATACTGATGTTCAGGTGTTCCTAACCTTAAGCATAAGTTCTTAATCTTTTGACCTTATCAGTGATCAGTTTTCACAGTCTCCTAACAATTTACAAACACTTTAAACTAAGCATGTGATAAAAAAGAAGAAAATATGTGAAAAATGTGATACATCACTAAAAATTTTCTGGAGTTGGCAGCAAAGAAATGTGTCGTCAATATGTAAGAAATTGAAGCTCTTCTTTGATGAAGAAGTCTTAACTCATTGCCACTACTTTCAACTCAATAGAATAAGAATTTAGTAATTTTGAAACAATATGAAGACAAAAGCAGTTCTAGGTTCAATCTATTTTGCAATTATGAAAATATCCTTGAAAATTTAGCTTGAAAACATAATGTTTTAATGTGTAGTACTTCACAGTACAAGAATTACATTACAGTTCCAGACAAAATAAAGTTAATTTTACCTCTTTTGTGGAAATGCTTTTAAAATTTTACAGACAGGTTCATTCACCATCCTTCATTGCTTTAATGATACCTATGAGCTTAAAATAGTTAAATGTCGGTGGTTGCTATGGGCTTGTTGACATAAATGAAGAGAATTTAGCACACCAGCAACACGATATATTTTCTAGACGATCTCTGATTGTCTAGTCCTCTGATTAATGACAAAGACTTGATATTTGTTTTGTGTGGTAGGTATATTGTAGTTTATCAATTTGTCACTAGCACAAAGAATTGAATACGATTGCATAGTAACAAAAATCGGCATTTTAAATGCATACATACTAATTTCAAAATAGACTTATTGCAGAACGACTTACAGCTGTTTTATTGCAACTGTATTTCCCTCCAGCAAGATTGTTTTAAGCGAAATTTCAATGATCTGTCGGTGGAATGTTAAACGGCATAGGGTATAAAACTTCACATTAAGCTAATAAATTTAAAAAATAATAATTTAAGAATTGGTTAACCTCTCCTTTCACAACTTTGACAATTGTTTTGTAATCAGGACCAATAGAATACCTAAGTTCGAAAACCCGTTGATCCGTCGCACATAATGTCTGATCTAAAATTTAAAACCCCTTCCCGATGAAAATGAAATTAGCAAGATTTAATCTATTGACAGCGCTTCCTAAACAAAGCGATTTTTCTTATTATCATCGATTCCGCGGTGTATGATCGGGGAAGTTGTTTCACCCTTTTCAGTAATGAAGTAGGACCTTAATACACTGCCTGTGGATGGATTGGATCGTAGCTTAATTGCGGGAGGCAGGCCGCACGAATAGAATTATTTTTTGTGCTTTCTACAAGTGTGATGGCGAAGTCTTCGATAGCGATAAGATCAAACATGTTTAAGTTCAATTCTAGGCTAAGCTACCAAAATATTATGAAATTTCAGAACGAAGTCAAAGTCTAAAAGGAGTACGTGCTTTCCTCTTTGATAATTCCGTTCTCCTGTTTCTCCTCGTGTATAGCTGCAGCGTCATCTTTTGGTAGTTGTTTGATCAATTCTCTTTCCGATTCTACAAAATCGTCAAAAAGACTTGGCCATGCCTCCGAGTCATCGTAATTCTCGAAATCCGGCTCAATTGCCTCTGTGAAATTTAAAAACATATACCAAGTATCTCGTGAAATTCCCCGCAGTTGTCTGTTTTCTAAATAGGCAAACCATCGATCCAGAACAGCTGGCACGTTCCTTGAAAAGACAAGTTTCCAAAGTGGAAGAGCGATGTTCTTAGGAAGGGCTCTCTGGCCCTCATCCACATCAAGTCCAAACTTGAAAGTGAATCGATACAAATCCTTGAACTTCTCGACGTCATTTGTTACCTCTGCTTCTAGTTCGGGAAATTTATTTTGTAGGCTTCTTATGGAGTCTACCCTGAGAGCTTTGCATCCTTCGAAAAATTCATTTCTCGTAAAGCGACACATTTGCGAGGCATTAAATTTCCAGGCCAGAACAAGCACGATGAACTCTGTCGGATCAACACCTAAGTCTTGACAAAACTTCTCCATGCCATCCGCAAGGATAGCGTCTTCGGTATCGTCCTTGTATTTACCGAACAGCGAAGCGATCTTTGACTCGTCAACTTCTTGCTTTGGCAAGGGGAACGTTCTTGGTATATCATTTGAACTAGTTTTCGCTGGCACACTCTTCTCTGCTGGTTTACTCTTGAACGATTCGTTCATAATACTTGGTGCGTGTTGGTTATACGAATTGTTGAACGTCCTAGTTGTTACTGATGTGGTTGTGGTTTGCTGTGAAGGCTTTCGCTGAGTTGTATCTGTAGATGAGTCCCCCACACAAACTGAAAAACACTTACCCATAACCTCAAATTACTATTCTTGTGTTCCAACGTTTTGTTACAGCCAAACAACCACAAAAAGTTTACCAAAGAGAGGAAAGTTAAATGTCGTGTTGCAACGAAAAGATGTCAACTTTTTCTTACGCTAAAGACCACGTGACCGGATGTTGAATAATCAGAAAGACTTCCGGTTTAGGAATTTAATTTTTGTGCCACAGTGAAGTAATTTAATTTTCACACATTTTTTTCGTATTTTTACTTCTGCTCTGTTGCCTAATTCGTTAAAGGGTGTTGCCTGAATACACTTCATTAAAATGAGATACGTTTGATATTCGGTTCTGTCCATGGGTCTGTTTCATAATTTTTATTAATTATTAAGAGACGAATGTTCCACAAAGTTAAAGAAAACAAATAAAAGTAGCAATGTTTGTAAAAAGAATATGAAAGGTAAAAAATACTTCAGCTCGATTAAGAAATAACGAATTATGTTTTTTTGTCCTGTCATGATTAGTAACACGAGCTTGGGATACAGAAAAATCCTGAGTTCCCGATTCTCCATGAGGAATCGAACCATAGACTTAAGAATATTCCATGTCCCACGTTCGTGACAACTGACAAGACAAAAACATATTGCGAAAACATTTTCAATGTTTTGAAAATAATGACAGTGCATTATTTGGTCGCTAAAGAACGGAATGTCAAAAATTTAATCAGAACTGATGGAATAGTTTTAGTTTCCTCGTACAAAAGCAGATATTTTTTGTTTCATATAATTGTATTTAAAAATATATATTTATATAATAATTTATTCGTTTCCCTCAGACTGATAATTTTGACTTTTCTACATGAATTTTATCTTTTATCGTGATCACGCCCACGAACGAATGCTATGTTGTTTTTTCGTATTAAGAAATACCATGGGGTTCAGATGCAGTTATTGTTTTATTGTTTAGTCTACCAACTGTGAAAATTTATCGTTCGTTGGATTCGTCAAGTCCTGTTTAAAATTTGCATATCAGACGAAAGAAATAGCATAAGAATTTCATGGATTGTTCATGTCTGGTTTTGATATTCCATTCGTTTGATTCTATTTTAACCATGGCTTATATTTGTGTTTGGTCGGATTGTGCTAGGATCGTGCTAGGATCGCTAAGATACCCTTTGTTATGTTCCCAACCCCGATTATTCCTAACTCCCTCTCACTTTCGTCCAGTCCGCTACTTATTTTTACCAAAGTAGTTGGTCGAAGGAGACTAAGACTAGCTCTCTCAATTATCCCAAACCTCCATCTTTGTTTATTGGATGGCGGAAGGAGAGAGGCCTTCGAATGAAGTCGAAAGTAATGATAACTTAGTGAATTCATGGCTAGCAAACGGAGCTCTATCGTGGTAAGTACTTAGCTCAAACCTTTTTTCGAATTTCTGTCTCGTTGTTTCTTCGTGATTGTCTTCGTGAAGCACAATAAATATAGAGCAATATGACAACAGTTAGCAAACAGCTGGAACCGTATCAAGAATCACGTAACGTCTCTTGATCACCCTGGTATTCTAGGGTTGCATAATTTCAGCCAGAAACTTCAACTGTAAGCCAAGGATTGCATATCCTTTTAAATGTACTCCTGTGATTTTAATAGTTGCTTTAAATGTTAACTTGAAATCATGTTTTCCACCTGAAATACTTCACTTCCTTTACACTTGTCATAAATTTTCGATTGCTCAACTGTATCTGATAATTATTCATCAAGGACGAAGCGACTTTTGTTTAATAACTGCGAGACAAAGTTGAGGGGATTACGCAACCATTTTCATATAGCCTGAGTTGAGGTGAATAATTATTAATTGTCAGAGCTAAACCGTTTGTTTTGTTTTTCTCTGCTTCCAACTTTTTGCCCATCAATGAAGGGAAGCAGAGTTTGGCATGAGGATCACATTGTTAATATGTAAACTGAATGAAACCTGACAATGTGTAGTGGTCTTGTCAAAATTTTTTGCAAGAACTTGTTTGATATAATTGCTCTGGTGATTATCAAGATGTGAAGGCTCTGATTTGTCGAGGATTGAATCATATCTTGCTATAATTACCTCATGCAAGGTGATTATTACAGGAATGTGTTTCGTTAGTGCAACCTAGGAAGTGATGACAAAAATTTAATTCCTAAGACCTCAAAAAATGCTTTATAGTTTGGAGTAACACTTTTCAAAAGAAAGATATGAAATTTTTGCTGGTTGAATTGGTGAACCCATCAAATTCAAGTAGAAACTGGTTCTTTAATCAAAACAATTGAAACAGAATGGTTTCCACATCAAAACAAATATTTAAAAATTAATTCCAAAAGCACCTAGTAAGAAATTATTTATCAAATATTGTTAAATAATCCCCCTGACTTTTTGTTAGAATTATTCAACAATTTTCACTTCACCTTCAGGGAATTATTGTTAATGACAATGTCTCATAGTTTGTTAATTGCAGTCATTCCAATAAGATAAAAATAGCTTCCCAGCTATAATCACCTTGTTTTGGGTGATTATAGCAAGATATGACATAATCCTCAACCCATCAGATTACAAAAATATCCACAGTTATCTGAGCAATTACAAAAATCTAACATCTATGTCAAGTCTCTTGAATACAGAGTGAACATAGTTCCCCTGTAACTATGTTATTCCTTGTAACTATGCCTTATCTCCTTAACAAAAGCAATTTTGGATCCTTTTTCAATAAAAATGGGAAATCTCAGATTTCTCAGAGTATAGCTTGTTATCATAATAATGGAGTTTTCTGAAAAAAAACATACCCCCTGGAAATGGTTTGTCTCAGAGTATGGCCATTTCAACGGAAAATCCTAACAGAGATAGCTTTTTTTCTGATTGATTGCTTTAAATTTTGTTTAAGTCCCAAAGTCCTACTGAGAATTGGACAGATGACCTCCCAGTCTGCAAATTGTCTGGGGTTGGTTTCCTTACAAATCAAAGGTACAGAGAGGATGGTGGAAGAAGGGAGGAACATGAATTAGAGGACAGGAGTTTCCATTTCAATGTAGATGACACATATCTCTATGGAGTCTTTGATGGTCATGATGGAACAAGGGCTTCAGATTTTACTGTTCAGAGACTCCCTGCTGAGCTATTACTTGGTCAGCTAACTGGTTAGTAAGAAACTTGGTAAAATTATTTTTTAAATGAATTATTATTGTTATTTTTATTATTATTACAGAGGGCTATAACTTACTCAAAAATAGCCCTTTTGTAGACAAGACCATCACATGAATTCTTGCATACATTTAGTTGTGATACTATATATATTGTTTTGATTTATGGGTAAAATAAGAGAGCCTTGTGTTATGACTGTTGTCTCTTTTCTCTCATTGTATATTTCTACTTGAAAATATAGTGGTAATGCAAAGATTAAATTTCTTTAGTTCACTTGGGATTGGTTATATGGCAGCATTTGAACCTCAGACTCACTTTCAGTTTGTAGTTTGGAGAGCTAACAAGTCCTGAATGATAATATGTTTTCTTAGTTTTCTTTTTCACTTTTTAACTCCCATGAGTGACGAAGACAGAATTTCTCCTTACAATATTAATACAATATCAAACAGACAAGCCATGAGAATAAAGGAAAATATTAATTAGGGGATTATTAGTTGATCCAATACTAAATTCTCCAAACTAACATCACAAGAATTATATGACGAGCAGTAAGGAGAATTAATAATGAGATCTTTCAGATTTATACCTTATAAGAGTGGATGAATGGTCGCATACTGGTGTTGTTAAATTGCATTACTGATCAAGATGTTGTGATGTTGTGACATTGTATCTATTAATTGCTCTGAAACACTTGGTAATATTCTTATCAATAATCTAATCTCTGATTGTCAACAGCTGATATGAATGATGAGCAGATCAAGGGAGCCATCAGGCAGGCCTTTATTGTAGTTGAAAAAGGATTCTTCCAATCATTAGATGATGCTTTAGCTGAGAAGACAGAAATTCAATTATCAATGCCTGAGGTACATTTTGTGTTCTTTCTTGTACTTTAATCTTTTGATGGTAGGAGGATTCCAATTGGAGTTATTGTTTCAATTTAAAAAAAAAAATCCCCACCTACTGAAAATTTTTGTATTTTTATTTTAGGAAAGTTTTAAATTGGGTTATTAAAAGGCCTGTGGCTGGATGCATCTGAATCTGCTTTTTCTTTTTTTGCTCTCAAGTAAAGGCATTAAGTAATGAATATCAAAATTTAACAAACTTGTATAGACCAAATGAAAATATGGCAGATTACTTGGAGGGCCTATGTCAATTTGCATGAAAGTTAGCTTGTCTAGGTAGGCCTCAGGGCTTGTTTTAAAAATGCAGCTCTTGAATGGCAATGGGTTGTTGGCAAAATATTCTATTACACTATGCCTAAGAATTCTTTTGTTCCTGGATGTTAAGGAAAGATGGGTAAAGGAACTCCCTGTTGGAAAATGGTTGTATGTCCCATCCATATTGAAGGCCTTTTCCCCTTTGCACTCTTTTTGCAAATTCTATTTTTGATTTTTTTTGTGCAAATTAGCCTACCCTATGTTTCATCCCCAACTCCTGTTAGTAAGGATAGGCAGTCACCAATACTAAATATTCGATTCTGGTGATTTTTTACTGCCTTATTGATACTGCTATAGAGAACTGAACACTTCATAACTTTAACAGTGCAAGATAGTCAACTTTATAAATGAATGAAAATAAAGGGATCGAAAATCCCTGAATAAAAATCCACTACGGCGTTGGCGCCAAGACTCAAAATGAAACATTTTGTTGAAACAATACAAAAACAATCTATGGGCGTAATTTTCAATGTGCAAAATTCTCAATTATTATATGGTCCTTACCGACAGAAGAAATCTTTTAGGTACACGGGCAAAATCGGCCAGTGACAAATCTTCCAGTTCTCGATTTTCGCTCCCAGCCGCGAGAATTGCTAATACCAAAGCCACCGAATACGTAGCTTTGGTTGTTCTTTCAGTATTTTGGTTTTCTTCCCCTTATAGGAAAGTTTTAAAGTCACTGTCTGTACGCGATACGGAATTTTTTAGTGTTTTAGCAGCCATAACCCAAAACAAATTCCGACAAACGACCTTAGATTGAGAATGGCGAAGGCTTCGCCGTTCCTTCACCAACCTGACCGAGTGGCGCAAAAGGCGAGTGACGTGTCAGCGGCTGATTGGCGATATCAAACACACGTGAAAAAATACGATATTTTTTTTACGTGTGCTGTTACGGCTTTTGTCAGAGCTGGAAATCCTTGTATAACTCCTTAGTTTATATGATAAAACCGTTTATTTCATGAATCAAGATACATGACTAATCATTAAACTTACTGACGCCACAGTATCAATATCAAAGAAAAACGTCAGTTTAACAAATAGATTCCAAGTTGCCGTGCGTCTGTTCAGTAATAGATCACAGATGATGTTAAAATGTGGTAAGAACAAAAAAGTGGCACACGAGGCGCAGCCGAGTGTGTCACTGATTTTCTTGCATTTTATTTTCTTAGGGTCTGAGCTCATATGAAGCTTACCAACAGTTCCCAGATGAGGTTGCCAGAATGCAGGCCTTGCAAGATGAGATCAGTGGTGGTACTACTGCTGTAGTAGCTCTGATTTTCCAAAATAAACTCTTTGTGGCTAATGTTGGTGACTCTAGAGCACTCTTATGTAGAGAGACTCCTGAAGGAAGTATTTCTGTGACGCAGGTAACAACAGTACATATTTTTAACTCTTTGACTCCTTAGAGTGTCTTGCATTTGATTTTTCCTTACCACGTCTTTTCACCCCCCCCCCCCCCCCCCCCCCCCCCGAATCACACTTTAAGGTCAGAGGAATAAAGGAAAAGGTTGCTAACTCAAGAGGCTCTGGCCTGTTCAACAAATTCTCCCTTGTTAGCACCTTGGGAAACGTATAGAGAACAGTGTGGAGAATATGCATACCGATGTTAGGGTAACGGGTTAACTCCCAGTTACAGCGGCAATACCCACGAGCACCATAGCAGAGCAGAGAAGGCATACATTCAGTAAATCTTTTACATAGGTTGGTGATCTCTAGGGTTTACTTCCATCCTACGCTTGTTAACGGCGGAATGTAAAATAACAACTGCCTTCTGTAGTTAGCTGTAATCACTTATTTTGGAGCTTCTCCTTAGAATATAAAGTTACCTAGTCAAGTCAGGAAACTTAAATTGCCATTAACATGATAGCTTGCTCATCTTGTTGTATTGTACTGTTTTTGGGAAGGCAATCCGTGCAGCGCTCCAAGTTGCGACTGTTTTGGTCGACATGAGGAGTAACAAATATATTTGGCAACTAAAAATTCGGCGAAAGTCGCCAATTGGCTACCAACACATTTGAAAAAAAATCGCAAAATCCATCGATGTTTGGTCGAATTAACAACCGTAAAAACGCCGGTAACGCAATATGAAATGTCCTCCCATTGATGTGACGATTTCGGCGACCAAATTATTTCTATGGCGACCATTTTGCAGCTAAAGGTCGCCAAAAGGCGACTTTTTAAAAAATTGAGCTTGGAGCCCTGCAGTGTGTAAGTTTGATTGAAGGGAAGCCGAGTAATAACTAGCGATTGAAACACATCTTTTAGGCTGGGCCAAACTTGTATTGTTCTGTGTTTCCAGATTAGAAATAGTCCTTAGTTTGCAATGTTGGTGTTTAGTGCTTCTTGCATAGAGAACTGTAGCATTTGATAGACTTGAAGTAAAAAGATCAAGGTTGAGACGAATCAGAAGGCATTTTGTCATTTTGTTGGGGAAAGCTTTTCTTTAAAAAATGCCGCAATTTAAACTGAGTAGAGGAATTTACAATCTCTAAAACGCGACCTTTTTCCCTTTATATCCTCAGCTGAGTGTTGACCACGTCACAAGTAACAACGACGAGCTTACTCGGCTGGCAAATCTGGGTCTGGACATTCAGCAGATATTAAGGAATCGTCGGATTGGAAATCAGGAGAACACAAGAAGTATCGGAGACTATTGTGTTAAAGGTGGCTACAAGGACTTTGATATTCTAAGGTGCTTGCAGTTTGTTTTGATTTCTAAATGCATCTCTAGCTTTCCTCAAATTTACATCATTAACTCAGTTGATAGAACCACATTGTCTTGTAAACACCCCCCACACCCCCCTCCCCTCTCCCCCCCACTCTCCACCGACGCCGCACGCGGTTTACCCCCTTTAATCATGATCTATGATGATTTCTGTAGTGCCGCTACTGAAGAGCCTGTTATCGCAGAGCCTCACATTTGCGGTGGCTTTCCAATTGACGAAACCTTCCACTGTCTGGTGCTGATGTCGGATGGTGTTTACAAGTCCATCGATGAAGCGTCAGATGTAGAAACCAATTCCAATTTTGATGTTGTTCGGCTGGTCGCTGAAGAACTTCATTGTCAGAACAACATGACTGGTGTGGCACAAGCTGTTGTGGATAGAGTGGGCAGGGCACATCATGACACATACATGACCCAAATGTCCAAGTGTCAGAAAAGAGATGATATGACATTACTGATTCGAATTTTCAAAGAGGAGATCGCCAATAGTTTGAAGAGTCCAAGGGCTCCCGGAAGACAGTCGGTGTCAGGTAGGTATGCAACACTTTCCGGCATACATTGGAAATTACGACTAAGAATTGATTGTCGGCGACCAGAGTTTCCATGCGGTCACCAGCAGGCGACTGACTTGAAGTCTTGCCAGTGTTCGTCCTGCCAGCCTGTTCCAGGCTTCCAGAGGGTAAAATGGAGTGAAGTAGCAGACGGCGAAAAAAAACCAAGGGAGGTTTGGGTCGGGTCGAGTAAAGTACGCGTTCATCACGCAACCCAACCCAACCCTCCCTCGTCTTTTCACTCCTCCACGACTGTTGCGCCGTTTACTATCACACTTCGTCATGCTGAACGCCTGGAACAGGCTATCTTCCTGCAAATCAACGCTCGACAAACAATGCGTCCGCTATTTTTTTGTTGCGCTCTTTTACACTTAGCTGGTCAAGAAATACAATCGAACCTCCCTTTGCGACCACCCCTCGAAAGCGATCCCTCTTGTTTGCGACCTCTTTTTCAAACTACCAAAAGTTTCCGAGTCAAATTCCTATAAAAGGATCCTCTCGTAAGCGACCACCTCATATAAGCGACCACTTTTAGAGATACTCGTTTACAACGTTCAATTTTTTTAAACTCCCATAGGCGACCACTTGACCGGCAATCGGCTTTATCTCTCACGAGCGGTAACTGAAAATTATTTCAACAGACATCATGTAAGTGGTGCTACCGTGTGTGTTTCGTGAAATTGTATTTTGCTCTTAACCGAAAATTTTTGCAAATTGAATATTTTTGGCGACTGAATTCTTCCATCTGGCAACAGCCTGTTCCACGCGTTTGCTCAGTGAAACTAATGAAACAAGGTTGTTTAATCGCCACTTGGCACCAGTGTAGAAAAGTTAATTCGGACCCTGCCCTCTTGGCGCACATGCAGACTTTATCATTAGCTCACTATAGTTGTGGTGCATTACAGCGATGCCTCCCATGAGTCCCGGAGTGCTTCCTGTGTCTGTACCATATAACCCTTCCAACCCCATGACGGGGAGTGCTCCTTCACTGTACATACCGTCCGGAGTACAGACCAGACCTGCACCAAGCGGAAACAGCCCGAGTCCTACCACGTCCACACCCACCAACTTAGTACCACAGGTGACCATCTCGCGGTCGGACACTCAGAGTTCCGCTTCATCGGCCAGCGGATCGCCTTCTGGTTCATTTCCTCCCGAGCATGCAACTGCTTTGGGTGCGAGTAGTCAAGGTATTGACGGCGAAGGGGAAAGCAACGAACAGGAGCAAGGAACAGAAACCAGCGAGGAAACTAGGGTGCATTCGTATGTGGATTTCACTGACTTTAATCGCCAGGTGGATGAACTTGGAGCGGATAATGTTTATGGGTGGGACAATCCCAAACCAGCGGCACCAACAACGCCGGTGTAGATCTTTTTATTTTTTTAACTGAACCACT